GAGACCCCATTTCTACACACATGCATGCAAACAGAGAGAGAGAGAGAGAGAGAGAGAGAGAGAGACCTAATTCATTCAAGCCCCTGATCTTTCAACTATCTCAGTACTTCTTACTCTATCCTCTGCTTTACAATGTGTAAAAGGGATCCAGGAGAGAACACGAAATGAGTTTCTCTTTCTTCCACCTAAGAAAGGATTTTCTCTTATCTTCACCTTAAAATGGTGCATTTTGAAGGATATGAAATTAAAGCATCTTTAAGGAAATCAGTAATCGTGAAGGAGGCAAAGGCTGGATTTGCTGTGCATTAAGGGATAATAAGAAGGGTCACAATATGCTGTAAGTACTAAGCTCTTTAGAGTCATTCATCACCCCTATTGTAGTTCAAAAGTAAAGCACCACTGCCTCAATTCAGCAAATTACTCATCAGAGGCCATACTAAAGTATTTGTTCAAAGAAAGATATTTGTTTTGCATCTGGGTCTGGGTCACTGAATACATTCTATAGCATGAAAATTTTTTCCTCTTTGGGACCGGTAACTCTTTGCCCTAAGGAATGTTCCTCATGGGGCACATACTCCGAGTGACAAAACTCCTTCTTATCTCAGCTAAGATCCTGTAAATAAAAGAAAGTCTTAAACAAAGGTCTCAACATGGGTCTCATGGATATCTACTGATAAACGCTGAGACTTCAAGAAGCCCCTGAAATTGTAGGCAACATTTGCCATGTATGTCCATTTGTGCATTTGCAGAGGCAGAAGAACCTTGATACCTATTAGTGGTTCTTTTATATAGAACGTTGATAGCAATAGATCCTAAAGAGATTCAAAAGAAAAAAGATTCGAGATTCTTGCAAAAGAAAGTAAGTCTTCCTTGTGGCTTTAAACTCCTGCCATAACATATTTCTCTGGTGATAACATTTGCCTTCTAACTCATACTTTATGACTGTATTAAGTGTATTTTTGCATAAATATTCAAAGGTGAGAAGGTAAATAAATTAATATGCGATCAAATATTAATAGAAGCAGCAAAGGTATCATACATGGCAGACAGGGAGCCTGCCAGTGGGCACTGCCAAGAGGGCACAATGCAGAGCTCACAAGTCCTCTCCAGAGAAGGGCCTCACACAGAGGATCAGGAGAAATATCAGCAGTTTCTTAAAGGGTATTTGAGGCTATGCAAGACACGCTCCCAGGAACTGCTGTAAATGTGTGAAGCCCATTGCCATCATAGGGGCCACTGAAAAACTCTCCCTTTGCCCTCACAAGTTTTGTGGAAAAATCAATTCACAAAAGGCAGAATAATGGGAGAAAATATATACAAATGTATTTAATTCTAGTTTTATGCGAAACGGGAACCTTCACAATGAAGATCCAGTGATACAAAGGAAACTGTCCTTTTTTTTTTTTTTGAGATGGAGTCGCGCTCTGTTGCCCAGGCTGGAGTGCAGTGGCGCGATCCCGGCTCACTGCTGCAACCTCCACCTTCCAGGTTCAAGTGATTTTCCTGCCTCAGCCTCCTCAGTAGCTGGGATTACAGGTGTGCCACCACGTCCAGCTAGTTTCTGTATTTTTAGTGGAGACGAGGTTTCACCATGTTGGTCAGGCTGGTCTCGAACCTTGTGATCCCCAATCTGGTGATCCCCCTGCCTCAATTTCCCAAAGCACTGAGATGACAGGCATGAGCCACCACACCTGGCCGAAACTGTCCATTTTTATGCTTAGGTTCAACCAAGTATGGACAGCCGTGTTGAAATATGCTTGGACAAAAAGGATATAATATATACATTTCAAAAGGTATATTATGTACATTTAAAAGGGTATAATATATAAATTAAAAAATGCATAAAGGTATACATGTTTCAGTATTATTATTATTAGCAATAGATGGAGTGGGGAACCCAGCAAGTCCTGTCTGTCTATGTTTCTCTTGGCCTTTGGGCAATCCTTTCTTCTGGGTATGGGGCAGGATCCTCTCTGGAATAAAGAGGTCTGATGACCTACAGTCAAACAAGGTAGGTCACAGAATTTCTTTTTTTCCTTTTTCTTTCTTTTTTTTTTTTTTTTTTTTTTTTTTTTTTTGAGACAGAGTCTTGCTCTGTTGCCAGGCTGGAGTGCAGTGGCACGATCTCAGCTCACTGCAACCTCTGCCTCCCCGGTTCCAGCGATTCTCCTGCCTCAGCCTCCCGAATAGCTGGGACTAGAAGTGCGCACCACCGCACCACCCAGCTACTTTTTGTATTTTCAGTAGAGATGGGGTTCCACCATGTTGGTCAGGATGGTCTCAATCTCTTGACCTTGTGATCCACCCGCCTCGGCCTCCCAAAGTGCTGGAATTACAGGCGTGAGCCACTGTGCCCAGCACATAACTTCTTTATGGCCATTTTTTTTTTTTTTTTAACACAGAAAGGCAGGAGGAAAGTTAAAGTAGTATTTTTCTCTTTTATGGCTGGCTTTGGGGAAAGCGGTTCTGGTTTCTCTGACCCAGCTTGGGGAAAGATTCTAGTTTCTGTGGCTGGTCCCAGGGCAGCACAAAGGACCAGAGACCGGAGGGCAGGCAGGAGAAGGTCAGAGAGAAACTTTTGTTTCTGAGGCTGCTGCTGAGGCGTTCACTTAGCAGTATCCTTTTCTGAGCCCCAACACTATTGAAGAAGCAGTTGTCAGCACACACACAGGAAGAGGAATCACATGCATATGCAGATGTGTAGCACGGAAGGAACACAGGGCTGAGGGATCAAACACTCCTACTGTCATAGGCAGCCTGGGAGAAGGTGTAGATCATTTCCGTTTCACACATCGCCACTTTCCTAAAGGGTATCTTGGTCAAGCATCAACTGCTTGCACTCAGCAAAGCTCCTGGGATTCATCAGTACCTGTCATCACTCTCCTTACATGGATCAACGAGTTATGTGATTCCTGTATACAAACTGGCATTATAAACCCTAACTGTACCCAAGGAACCAATATGGCGCATTACATCAACAGTGTAGCCTGAAGGATTCCCTGGATAGACACTGTTGAGTCCCAGCCTGATGGCTTTAACAGAGGCATTAACTTGTTTTGTGTCAAACAGCTGTGTTAAAGATTCCCTAAATACATAGTGACGCGGCAAGAATATATTAGTAGCTACTCACTGTGCCAATCATTTGAAGTTAATGTTATAAGAGGTTGCATGTGACAACCAGCAAAAAGTAGATTTGCTTTGTTAAGATTCACCTAAGCCCAGTTTTTGGATTGTAGTAACCCTGTCAAACTCTTTGATGCTTTGAAGTGAGTGGTCCTACTGCACAACCTTCCCAGAGTCTAACACTAAAGTAAGCAAAAGTGAAAGATCAGCGATTTGAGCCGGTTGTACAGACCTGATACTCCACACTCATAAACCATGCGTGAGTTATTAAATTCATGGGTATTACAAGGGGAGAATTAGGCCAAGTTTCAGATTTGACTCCACAAGTGTCACTAAGTTTTACCTAAGTTCATGACTAAAAGTAAAACCCCCAACCCTGGAAAACCCTGCATTTTCCCTGGAAAGCCTGGGCTGCCTTTCTGCTGATGACCATGAAGGGACTGGATGGAAAGAACGAACCTGTCACCATTCATAACCAAGGTCAGGGGTTAGGTGAGCCCACATGTGAATCGCTTCACACCTGATTAGATTTCAAAGCAGGACTCGAACTTAGTTCTTCTTTTCATTTACCTTATTGCATCTCTGTTAAAGACAGAGGAGGAGTGCCATTTGGACAATCGAGCCCTCTCTTTGTATTCCCCACAGAACATCACAAAGCACTAAGAGCTTAGAGCTGGCTTATCGAGTTAGAATAACATGTAAATATCTGGAATTTTAATAATTTGTTCTCATTAAAATAGAAAAAATACATATGTATCATACACACAAGCACACACACACACACACACACACACACAATTTGTCTATGTATTTATTTTCCACACAACATTGTCACATTATATTCACTGTTTTATTATGTGCTTTCTCCTCCTTGGCAGTAAGTTTTCAAAGTCAGCTGACTTAGAAAATAAAAGTTTTTTAAAAGCCTAATGATATGTTGCATGGCATGATCTGAAGCAGGTATCATCCATGGGAGTTCTTCTTGACCTTAGGAGAGCTAAAATCCGTAGTACCGCCAAAGGTTTAAGACTTCGAAACAAACAACATGTCTACCTGTCTACCGTGCCTGTTCTTCCTAATGCCCCGTCCAAATCCCGACCTTTGTGGCTGGAAGCTGTGATACTCCTTTGCTGCCAACTAGTGGCAAGTTTCAACTTTAGACAGACGTTTCTCCTGCTGAGCACAAAGATTCAATGTTCTAACACCACAAAGCCTGGAAGGGGCCGTATGGGTTCTTAGAGAGCAGCATTTTCAGGTTGTGAGCCATAACCCTAGAGTATTTTATGAAACCAGTTTCATTTTTTAAATGAACCCATTACAAGATAAAGGAATAGAAAAAATATCAAGCATATCCTATGAAGTGAATGAAGGTGTTAGATTATGAAACTCTACTTTCAGTTATTTTGTGCATGTGTCCCCCTGGGTCACAAGGTAACCTGGACACAGATTTTAAAAATTGAAAGCTGCTGAACCAGGGAAAGGAGCCATTAGAACAGGAGGAGTCCAAAGTTTGCCTAGAATCCTTCACACTTAAAAAGTGTAATGTATAAACTCATTAAGTCTAGAATTCCTCTAAGAGCTTCAGGGCTTGAAGTGCCTGGCTTCCATACTTGTTAAAAGAAGCAAACCTTTGACAGATTCTTTACTGCCTGCTGCTGGGTTCTTACAGGAAAAATGAAAAGTGTGGAGCCTGACTTATTTTAATCATAAACCTAGGCATGTTTCTGGAATAATGAATCTCCTGATTAAAGACTGCAAAGTTCAAAGACTCGTTTTGGCTGCAGGAAATAAAATGATTTGGAATTAAAGGTGAAGGAATTGAAGCAGGTGAAATGTGAATGGCTTAAACTGCAGCTGTAGTACAATCTTTTGCCTTCTAAGAAATCTCAATGAGAAGAGATCATCTGAGGAGACAATTTGCATTGGAACCATCATTCAGGCCTGGCAAAGCATCCATAATTTTAGGACACAATAAAAAGTTTCTGCTTCAACTTTCAGAAGTTGACAACTTTAATAAATGAGACATGATGATGTCCAGAACTAACTATACAAAAATATAGTATTAATTCCACTAACTCATTAATGTAAGCCACAAATAAAAAATGTGGTAATCAATTCGCAGGGCTTGAATTGATAGGCTTAAGGGTGTACTTTGGGAATTAATTTGAGAATTCTCAGTCCATGTCCTTTAAAATGGTCTATTTCTTGTGAATATCATTATGTATCTGTTTGACTCAAGATCTATATCCTTCACAAAGACTTCCCTTTCATTTCTTTTAACAGAAAATATTTATATTGTGAAGAATGTATTTATAAATAACATATATTTTGAACTGGAATAAGACACTAAAATGTATACCACATCAGGTTGCTCACTATTTAATGTATGATAATTTTTTTCACCTGGATCCTGACACGTAAGGACAGCATTTCACATATTATTCTCTCAGACAATATGGTCTCATACGGAGCACAAACTGCCTCCTCAACTAATATTGATCAAATAGTAAATGGAAAAATGAGAAGGAAATTAGCATTCATAACTATGTGTCAGACCCTTAACATATATTATAGCATTTGATGTCCACAGAAATCCTGAAAATCACTAACAATTATTCCTATTTTACAAATAAAGAAACTGAGCTTGGTAATAATTCACAGAGTCTGGCAGGCCTCCAGAACCTAGAGACCTTTCTACTATAACAGGGATGATGGCAAATATGTGTCATCCCTGGAAGACAATCACAATGCTCTTCCCTACTGAGACAAGATATAACATCAGAATCCTTCTCAACCTAGTGGTTTGGGCAGCTTCAACCAACTGATCCCAGTAGGTTCAGGAGTAGAAAACAAATTGCAATTCCTATCATTCAGTCTAAAGTCTCCAAGACACCTCCCAGCTCAGACAGTCTATACTTCCTACCCACACTCTTTAAAGAGTTTATTATAATGAATTATGAAAGGCAAAGTCCAGGTTAGAAAATGAAGCTCCAAGCTGTCACTTTGTCAAAAAGGTACAACTGCCAGTCAAGGCTGTCTGCGCCTCCAGCCTCCAGCCTCCCTCTCTGATTAATTTCCTTCTACCATTTCTGGCCTCTTTGCATCACTGTCTCTTTTCCAGCATGATCGTAGAGCTGCTGTGTCCAATACGGCAGTGCTATCCACATGTGGCTATTGAGCACCTGAAATGTGGCCAGCTCCATGTCAGAGGTGCTGTAAGTATAAAATACACTGTAGATTTTCAAGCTGTGGAATGAAAAAGAGAAAGAATATCTCACTAATAATTTTCTATGTTGATACATGTCGAAATTGTATTTTGAATGTTGAGTTGAATAAAATATATTGACGATTTTTTTTCTTTTGAGACAGAGGTTTGCTCTGTCTGCCAGGCTGGAGTGCAGTGGCGAGGTCTCGGCTCACTTCAACCTCCACCTCCCTGGTTCAAACGATTCTCGCTGTCTCCACCTCCAAAGTAGTCGGGATTACAGGCACCTGCCACAATACCCAGCTAATTTTTTTGTATTGTTAGTAGAGATGGGATTTTACCAGGTTGGCCAGGCTGGTCTCAAACTCCTGACCTCAGGTGATCCACCCACTTCGGCCTCGAAAAGTGCTGGGATTACATGCGTAAGCCACCGTGCTCGGCCTATTGATAAAATTAATTTCACCTGTTTCTTTTTATTTTTTTGTAAATGGCTACTAGAAAATTTAAGCATATGTATTGCATGTATTTGAGGATTGCATTCTGTTTTTATTGGACAGAGCCACATCTTAAAGGCTTCCATTTGCTATCTTTGCTTCCTCTGTCATCCTTGCTTCTGTATGGCTACCTATTCCATTTTCAAGGCTGGCTGAACCTGCATCTTTAGTTGCTGGCTCGCGGCTGCAGCCTTGAGTTGGTGATAAGAGGAGCCATTCTGTCTATCCCTACTCCCCTATAGCTTCCCTTTGCAACAACTCTCTGCTGCCCCCTGTTGCTGCCAAGCAACCCCTGAACTCTCAGCCCGATTTTAGCTCTTCCAGCGAAACACCTTCAAACTCCAGCAATCTTAATTTCTTAGGGTTCCTTTCAGAGATACTTAGCAAGAGATTGAATTTAGACTAGGAAAGTGTGAAAACAATCAAGGCTAT